TTTGGAGGGATGGGATTTACTTTTTGGCTGGCATGCCTATTTAATATTTAATAAAAAAGTGGATCGGGCTTTTAAATCTCATATCATAAGAATTTCTTTACTTAGGGTTTGGAGAAAATATTATAAAAGTGATTCTAAAGTACCACTATGGGCTATACCTTGGCATGCGATAGAAGGAATAAAAAGAGGGGTTAAAATGGACATGGTGTCTTATACACAGTTAGTTAGATGGGATGGACAAAATTGGCAGTTAAAACTATTGGAAGAGTTAGTACATGAAAACATTACTTATTCTTGGTTTCAATATAGGCAATTAGTAGATAGATGGAAGATGGATCGTAAGGTGGGTTTTCTTAGAGAAGATGAAAATTTTATTAAGCAAGTGAAGGACCAAAGACTAACTCATATTAAGAGAATTTATGGGGTTCTAGTGGAATTGGATTCAGAAACAGAATTAATTAAAGATTGTATGATCAGATGGGCCCAAAATTTTGGTGAACCAGTCCTACTGGATATCTGGGAAACCATTTGGGTCAGAAATGTTAAATTTACACAAGCACAGAATTTAAGGGAGAATTTTTATAAAATGTTTTATAGATGGCACCTTGACCCACAAAAAATGTCTTTTATGTACCCTGACCTACAGCCTAAATGTTGGAGATGTGGTTGTTTGGATGCCACCTACTATCACATTTGGTGGTCGTGTAGAAATATAAAAGCCTTTTGGATTAAGATATGATGGAATATTCAGAGAATTTTTAAAAGGAGGGTAAAATTTACTCCACAATTATTTTTGTTAGGTATAGTTACTGATTGTGACACAAAGGAGGTTATATTGATGTTAAACTTGATTACAGCCGCAAGGCTGTTAGTAGGACAATATTGGAAGAAGGAATCTTTGCCTACTCTGCAGGAATGGTTTCTTAAAGTGTCTTATTTGGCGGAAATGGCAAAGATTTCGGCTTTTTTAAAAGAACAATCGCAAGAGAAATTTTTTGCTGTTTGGGATAAATGGAAAGTTTATACAATTTAAATTGGATATAAAAAAATATTATTTAGCTTTTTTATAACTTTTATTTTTATATACATACATATACCTTAGTTATACTCTCTTTTTTCATATAACTTTTTTATTTTTTTTAATTAAGCCTATATTCTGCTCTGGGAAGCTCCGGGGGGGGAGGGAGTGGGGTTTTGGGGGGGGTAGGGAAAGGGTTGTTTTGTTTTGTTTTGTTTTGTTTCTTGTTTATGTTTTTGTTGTATTGTTATTCTTCTGTTTCTTTTGTAAAAAATTATAAAAATTTTCAATAAAAAGAAAAATATCACAGTATATTAATGTTATGCATGCTTTGGAAATGTTTAGGAAGCACTGCTTTTGAATTTATACAACTGAAAGCATAGCACCTCTTTGATATCTTTAAAACAAACTTCTATTTTTTATGATTTGATTAAGCTTGGAAAAAGGTGATGCTGCCTTAAGAGTTTCCTTGTGGAGGTTCCCCCGAAAGTCTACAAAAAAGTGTGGTTGTTTTAAAGAGTAGCAGAAAACTTGTGTGAGGTTTGGACCATATTTTCTGAACAATTTTCGAAGTATACAGTTTCCTAATAATTATCCACATATACAAATTATACGTATAAAGAATATGTGAAAGTTTATGTAGGTCAACATTTTATTCTTATTCTTGCTGATGCAATATCTCTACTTTTATTGGTATAATAGCAAAAAGTGAGAAGAAAAATCTAGACAGCTCAGTTTCATTTACTCTCTGTACATATTCAAGCATTTACCTAATCTGTAAGCACTTAGATCTGTATAAATAATGACATTTTTTGTATCACTATGCTCCTTACTCACCCATGATTTTTTTCACACCTCCTGGATCAAGGCTTGGAGGATGGAGACAGGCAGTTTTAAAATCCAGTGAGTAATGATATTTATATAATTCTAATGGTGGACATTACCATCATTAGGATTATACAAAAACCAAAGAATACCAATTGAAGTTGAGTGACATCCTGGATTTTTAACTCTGAAAGTGGTTAAATTGAATGGCATGCACACAGTAGTATATATATTTGTTTATAACAATTTTAATAAAGTTTTAGTAGATATAGTAAAAATAAATAAAAATTAAATTAAAACATAAAACAAATAAATTTAGAGAGAGAGAAAGAATAAAAAGAAAAAAGAAATTAAAAGAGAAAAAAAGGAAAAAGAAAGGCAATAATAAAGAAGTGGGTTCTAACCTTCATCACATTGAGTATACTGTAATCTAACATCATGACTCTTCAACCTCTCTTAAAATTAAAAACAAACTCTTCTTCCCATAACTTAACCCATATCTATACACAATGCAGAAATCATCTTTTCAGTGTTGATTAGAAGCTACCAGAAATGTCAAATTAATAATACTCCAGCTTTCACACACTTTCTTTTTGTGTTTCACAATTTTCATCTTTAATTTATTCCACTGGGTATCTCAGTATTTGGTCTTTCAGCAATCTTTGGCACTCCCAAAATTTTCAACTCAGTATATATTTCAGTCTCATTTAACACAAGATATTATTCCCTGAATAATATTTATACATAGAATCAGTGAATTGTTAACACTACATTTCTTATCAGCAAAGAGTGTACATCTTTACTCTAAACCCTGAATTTCTGGTCATCATTTAGGAGCAATTGAACTGTCCTTTGTTGCATAGCATGCTGGGAGGGAATGGACAGCTATGAGTGGTGTATTACAGAAATTGTTTCTGGTATTTGTAGAAAATCAGATTTTTTTTCATGACTACTCTGAAAACATACAAAATGTCCACCATGTGTATTATAATCTGTCTTTAAAAAGTCCAATAAAGTTGCAAGCTTTGGCAGGCTTCTAAGTTAGATTTATAGTGTAGTGAAATATGGAATTTCCATCATTCTTTTTTCTAATCTCCCCAATGACTTTTTTCTATGTGAGAGTTTATTTTCATGCAAAAAGGAAAATTCTTATTTTTGTGCAGCTGAATGTAAACAAAGAAACCTACACACAAAACAAAAGAACAAAGTTTTGAATTTATTTAAAGATCTAATATTCACATATCCTTGATTTCTTGTCCTTTACTTTTATATGGACACATTGGATCTATATATGATGTAGTCTTGACTAGGTAAACTGTACATTTTTCTGGGGTTTTATTATGGACATACTGACAATTTGCATAGTTCCAGAATTTCCATACTTACAGTGTGAGTGGATTTAAAAAAATCTCAGCAGTCAGTATGGGAGTTAGAGTCCACATTATCTTAAATTGCTTAGTGTGGAAAATATGGGTTAAGAGTACAATAACCGTCACATAGATTAAAAACTCCACATGATCATTACAAATCATTCATGTTTACTCAAAAACAGATCCTAGAAAATATATAGGATTGCAGTCTGAGACTCTCTTGTGACCTTTTCCCTGGATTGTGTAGCTAAGTATTGTATTTTACGTAATAGTAGTTTTTTTTATATAGTCTTACTTAGTCAGTGCCTTACTGGGGAACTCTGGCAAGCACACATGCATGTGCATACAAATATTATTCCTATGATTCCCCCCCTTGTGTTTACACTTGAAATAAATATTCTTGTATTCTGGCACTATTAAACATGGATACCATAAAATAAGAACACAGAATTAATGGGAATAGAAACATAAAGTGCTCTAATCCAGAGGTCCCCCAACCTTTTGGGCACCTGGGACCAGTTCTGTGGAGAGAGGTTTTTCTGCAGATCAGAGGGGGCAAGGTTTTGTGTGCTGCCTGCATCTCACAGATGGGGGTTTGTTTGTTTGTGTGGACCAGTTGCTGGCATGCTGCAGCCCGGTACTGGTCCACGGGGTTGGGGACCCTTCTCTAATCTGCAAAGAAGTAAAAATACATGGAATTGCCATAGAAATATTTTAACACTGACATAGAAGGTCAACAAAAATGAAGAAATTTGCTGTGTCTTGCAATATAGCAATGTTGATTTCTAGGAGCTTAAATTAAAGATCTAAGGTCACTTCAAATTTCAAACATCTCTATTTCAGCAATGTTGCCAAAATAATAGATATGCAATGTACATACTATGATTTTACCTTCTATTAAAAAAAAATTGCAAAACTCTGCTTACACATTGGCACTGGGGATTGCAGATAATAAATAATAATTATATCAAAAGGTATAAGCCACAATAACTAGAGAAAAGCCCCATATTCAATGATGGTCTGGCAAACAAACAGCAGGCCATTACTTTCATGCCCTATGTTTCAGACCTTATGACTGTCATGCCTTTTGCATGAACCTTGGAAGACATCTAACTGGATTGCTACTAAAAACAAAGTTGAACTAGAAAGATTTTTGTATTTGTTACTTTAGTATCAGTGTCTTATCTATATATACTACCGTCCAAGGGTGAAGAATGTATATCTCTCAAGATATAGATTGCTTCATTCCCAGCTAGCATGGTCTACAGGTAGGGGCAGGATAGCAGATTATTTTACTACCTGGAAAGAAGAAAGAGGACAGCAGTCTCACCCCATATGCAAAAGGAATGGAATTGGCAACTAATTTGTTCTGTCATACCAGTGAAATAGAATGTCCATCATTTATCTTGAGAGTATTACATTAATTTCAGCATGACCTGGTGTGACACGTTTATTTTCTGCAGCAACCTGTGATATTTATTTCCTGAAATGCCTAAAAGATGATCGAATGATGGTTCAATGGCATTTGAAATACCACATGTTTTCCCTTCATCTTATATGAAAGATTAACATTGGAAAGTGAAGGTATTGCTTCAGCATAGTCTATGAAAGGTTAACAAAGACAGGAAAAGATGCTTAGAAGTTTTAGCACAGTACAAAGAAACAAAAGCAGTTTGCTTGCTGATTTTTGCTCCATAGAAACACAGGAGAATTTCTCTGCAGCCACCCCTATCTTACTGCCTTATTCTTTTAAAATCTGGTAATTGAAAACCATCTTGTTCTTACAGAACGGTTTTGCTATTGTGAGGCCCCCAGGCCATCATGCTGAAGAATCAACAGCCATGTAAGTACCAGGGAATATTGCCCATCTTGGAGTGCTAGGGTTACTGGCAATCACCTGTACTGTGGGTGTCTCAGAGGACCTCTAATTGTTAGCAGATGACTGAAAAGGCTTTTGAGGTATCCCAGAAGAAGATTTATGATCTCAGAGATCATATAGCTTTTTTATAACTTATACACACACACACACACACACACACACACACACACACACACACACACACACACTTCTAAACATTATTTATAGATGTTTCCTGACCAATGTGCTTTATAAAATTTCTGTTCTTCTCTATTCCACAGGGGGTTCTGCTTTTTTAATTCGGTTGCAATTACAGCCAAATACTTGCGAGACAAGCTAAATATAGGCAAGATATTGATTGTAGATCTGGTATGTATTCTTGACGAGCACATCATTTTAGTGCAATGGGGGGAAGAGATGAAGGGAGGAAAAATAAAAATGTTGCATTTTCTTCTATTCATTAGTCTTTTCTGCTTTTACTACTTAGAAGCAATGAAGGTATGCATTTTTCCTTTGAATCTGAGAATCCATTAAATTCAGGATTTCAGGACTGAAACCATAAACACGTATGTTTCACTCTAATGGTGTTAGCCCCAATTTTAAAGAGAAAATGAGTAGATCACGATGACATTTATGGTTCTTAAATGAACTGATTCTTCCCCTATTGAAATGACCCAACAAGTACCCAATTTACTTTTCCATACAGGATATAAATTTGAAATAATTTAATTTAATTGCATGTTTTTGAATTGTAGCAATTTTGATTTTCTCCCTTAAACTGACAATAATTTGGCATGTTTTGCAACAGTCATATAGTTGAAACAGAATACTATTTTTCTGAATACTAAAAATTTCCAAATCATGTATACCAATACATGACAGCTTTTAGGCAGAAATATACTATTGAATGGCATTTATATTTTAAAAAGGCAATCATTGTGAATTAGTTTTATCTATTAATAAATAGTCAAGTTCCAAACAAATAGTTAAGTGAAATGCAGTTGTCATGTGGCATCTTGTTTATAAACTCTATTCATGAATAATGAATTGAGTTTTGCCTTCTACTTAAGCACCAACTTTATCCACAGTCTAACAGAAAATCCAGATTGATTTATATACACCATTTTTGTTTTGCCTTCCCTTCAGAAGGAGCAATGCAATAAGACTGGAAAAGTATAGGCAGGAAATAAATCTTGGCAACCAGCTCTAACCTGTTACATTTAATTAATTTTTGCAGGTAATAAAAATTTAAATACAGTATATGAAAACTATGAGGTTGCAAAACCTAAATCTTGCTGCTATCAGAACTCACAAATAATTATTACTATAAATTCATGGACCTAATATGTAATAATCCAAATGTAATTTGCACAGTTAAAAACAATACAAGAAAACTCAGACTAACATTTAATTTTAAAGCTGTAACATGAGCATTTGAATTATGCACAGGAGTTCCATTTCAACCATCAGTAACAAACCAGCAAATAATGAGAATGAATTGAAATTGATCAGTTAGGTTCCAGATAGTATAGTCATCTTCTTCCCATGAGGACTTCCTTCCTCTTTGTCCCATAGATTTTCTTCTTCCTGCTCTCAGAAATAATGCCAGTTTCAAGCACCAGTATTGTTTTTGGAGTCTTCAAAGAACTACTCAACACAAGGTTCATAAAATCATCAGAAAGAGCCAAAAGTGATCTGGGAAGAACACTAAAGTCCACTAAGAAAATAAAAGAACTTTCCACAAAAGAGCAGCAGCATGCACCAGATGGTCTGCGAAGAGTGACTCCAGCAGTTGAGTGAATTGATGCTAAAAAGAATAAGGCCAGCTCTTGGAGAAAGCCTTGTGAAGTCAGTCAGATCCACCAGAATCAAGTAACTAGAAGAACTGAAGATAACGTAATTATTATGTAGACAATTTAATTGTTAAAAATCCAGTCTAATCATTTGAAATCCTGACTGTAAAATAAGGCCAAACTTATTGTGCAAAAGGTTTATGTGTGTACCCAGGTCTTTCCATGGCAAATACTTGAAACAACAAATAATAGGATCATAAATATTAAGGGATACCTGTAATTAAACATACATTAATAAGCAAAGCAAAAATATTAAATAACTGACAGCACCTTTACTAGCAGCCCCTGTGTCACAGCTAACAAATTAATATTTATTTATTGAAATATATTTCACATTTATTATTTCTAATAGCTCAAGGTGGTGAACATATCCAACACACCTTACTTCTCCTATTTTCCATACAACAACAACCCAGTGAGGTGGGTTGGCCTAAGAAAGAATGACTGGCCCAAAGTCACCCAGCTGGCTTTCATGGCTAAGACGGGGCTTGAACTCATGGTCTTCCACTTTCTAGCCTGTTGTCTTAACCACCAGATAACCTGGCTATATTATTTAATATATTATATAAACTGGCTCTTTATATAATATATTCCTGTATATATTCTGTAGTAGATATAGCACTATGAGAATAAATGTAAAAACCAAACCCAATGCAGTATAATCAACATATATGTTCACAGCAATAACTATCAATAATTCATCTATCTTGAATTATTTGCCACCAACATACAATAGGCAAGCACATTCAGAACAGAAAAACTAGTGAACAAGCTCATGTGGTCATATAGCCAAGTAACACTCTTTGCTGTCCGTAGCACACAACCAAATTTTAATAAAGAAACCACAGAATTTTTCATGCAGATCATGAATCAAGAAAGCACTGACACTGCTAGGAGTTAACTTCCATTTGACAGATTCTTGGATCTATTATCCTTACAAAATAGACAGCTTGAATACTATCACTCTTGCTTAGTGATCAAATGCAGGAATTCAATTTTTGAACTAGTTTTGTTGACCAACAAAATAAATGTGTGCATGGATAATACAAGTAAAAAGATTAAAATCCCACTGTGGAAACTTGGTATTATTTTTCATGTTGTACAGTTCAATCAGCAGTGTGTATAATTGCAAGGAAAAACAGAAACTGCAACAAGAAAATTAGAGGGCATAGCAAAAGACTAAGTAGGAAAGAAGCATATAGGAGAGAATGGGTCCAAATCTTATTATTTGATGATTAATAAAATGTTACTTCTGGAATCTGATAAATCATCATTGCTTTAGAAATAAAGGTATGTAAAATGAATTAAAAAGAGCTACACTTCTAATTCCACATAGTAATTACCTCACTCTCACCTATGGGAGATGGGTGAGTGGAAAAGTAATGGGGCATGCCATCTTTCTTGCTTGCTATGTGAGGCACTTTTCAAATTTGGGGAAAGATGACTTCAGAGAACCCTGACAGACAACTGGTTTATCTCTTTATTGCAGATGCTGTTAGATCTTTAATAATAAACTATTAGAACAGTTTGGGGCACAAAATTCAGAATGTGTTATGAACACAGCTTTTATTTCTGCTTTTTATTTCATGAACAGTTGAATAGCAGTTCAGTAGGTAGATAGACTTGTAGCTGGCCAATATTTACTAGTATCAATTGAAATGAGCAACTCTCCAGACAGATCACTATAGCTATAGGCTTCAGAGATTGTAGGCTACTCAAGACATATAGTTCATTTTCACTCATGGAATAAATATTCTGGTGTAAATGTCAATATATTGTGGGAAGGCAATCCAGCGGAACCACAAAAACTTGGTATTGTATACAAATGATTCCAAATTCTATTGTTATTAAACCAAAGAACTATGAATGCAAATATACATCCCTACATACTATGAAGTATATAATCATAATTTCTTGGCTTCGACTTCCATATGATCTGCATAATACCCCATATAATAATGTGCCATTCCATTATTGATTGAAGAATCAATGTGAATCCAACCTTCCCATTTCAGTTGGCACTAGGAAAAGAAAACACAAAGTCAATATGCAGTAATAGGATTCTTTTGTTGTACAATAAGTTCTCGATTTCGTGGATTTTGGTTTAATAAACTTCAGATTTAAAAGCCCTAGCTGAATGAGATTTGCCTGAATTTTAGAAAATAATGGATTTAGTTCAGACAATTTTTTTTTTCAAAAACAAAATTCACTACTAGTAGTAGAGAAAGGTTTCTCCTGACAATTGTGCTTTTCTGCTGAAAAATTACCATTTATTGAATATTAGGCTTTAATGGATATCCATCTCCTTGTTCCTTGTTAATTCATTCAGTCAATGATTAACTCAAATTTAGATTTGAATTCCTGCTTTATTTTTAATTAGACAATTCCATTATTCTTTGGATCATCTTCAATGAAATACTCTGAATGTGTTTTAAGTCTCAAAAAATGATGCAAAATAAAGAACAACCCAATAGGTAATGCTGATATTGATTTTAGAAAGCTATAATTATATAACTATAGATATACATTGTCCATTTTTAAACAATACAATGGTTGGGAGATATGCTGCATTATTATTTTTTTCAGAATTATTTTATTTTTATTTCATATGCCAACATGTATGAAATATTTGAGTTAGCCTTGAAAATTCTTTATCTTTCACAGTTTGTGATTATGAGCACAGGAAATAAATAGCATAGATTACCTCACTTTATTTTCCCCTTTTGATCTTTTGGGATGGGAAATCCATGGCCCTTCATATCTTCTTGGATATTAACTCTTTAAGGCACAGCCAGTAAGGCCAATGGTCATGGATGACTCAAATTATGATCCAACAACAGCTGGGAAACCATAGGTTCTTCACTTCATTTGAATTTTTTCCTATTTCTTTAAAGATTGAAAGTAAGATTAAACTTTGAATAATAAATACCAGAAGAAACTAATGCATTCTTATATTATAGCCTTCTTCATCTTAATGTTTGTAGACTAATTGGGCTATAACTTGTTATTAACAGCTATGGGCTACTGGAATTGGAATCCAATAGTCAATTATTACTAGAGGATAATCCAGTGGTGACAATTTGTGGATATTATAATCCAATACCTCTAGAAGGTACCAGGTTACAAAGAAACGACACATCAATTTTGAATGTTAAAAAGGCCAAATTACAGTAGAACTTCATCTGATCTAGTTCTATTATTATCAATGTTTTTCAGCTTTGGAATACAATCAAATTTATTGAAAACCTCAAGTCTTATCCTCAGTCTTTAACTGTGATTTTTTTTTTAAATCTTGTAGGTAGGCTTTCTTGAATTAGGGAATATATTTTCTGTCGTTTACTTATTTAAACAAATATATTTATATAGTTATCCTTCTTATCATTTTAACCAGGTAGCTTACAAATAAAATTAAAACTAAAAGAAAACTCAATTTAAATAATATAGAGAAGAAACCATAATATGCTGTGTGCCTGTGATTGAAATGAAAAAAAAGTGCTCCATTGTAATCATTAAGATAATACTAACAACCAACCAACCAACAAGGATCACTCAAACCCTGGCCTAAGTGGCTATGAAATCATCCAAACCATTTCTAACTTATGGACCAGCAGGGTTGGGACCCACCATATTTCCAGGAGAGTACTATTCCACAGGGCAGCTACAGTGGCAAAGACAGCCATAGTAAATCTGTCTGTAACAGTTACATCCCTATTATAGCTATAAATCGTTATGATTAGCAGAATTCTGAAACGACACATTGGATTTGCAAATCCATCTTTTCTGTATCAGCTACCTTAATGTTTCTGAATAAAATGAATGTATCAGTATAAAGCCAATATTAGAAATGTGAAAAACTGTCTTATTTTTTGATATGAATTTATTTAATTTTATAAGTCAATATGTGAAGTGAAATCTAGATGTAGTTTTCAAATTAAAAAATAAATAAAATGTACACATAATGCATGCACGAAAATGATATGCAAAGTTGTAATGAAACAATATGCAACATTTTAATTAACATTTTTTGCAGGATACACATATAACAAAATGATGTATTAAAAATTAACCTTTTTCAAAAAATAAACATGGTAAATTTATGGCTTAAATCAAATTTATCTCTAGGAAAAATAAAAAATAAAAAAATGACAGTTTTATTAATCTGTACAAGAATGCAATAAATTTCTACATAATTGCATGTTCAGAATATAGCTCTAATTAAAGTATAATCCAATTTAGTGTCATCATTCATGATCAATTAGTAGAGTTTATCAACACAAAGTGAAATCTACAGGAATAATACTCTCATATCCTAGTACACATGACTTGTACGGCAGTGTCATCCACTATGGGAAGATCTATTAATCTTTTCACACGAGGATAGCATTTAGAGAATGCTAACCTTGGACATATTTACTATATGCACACAAAGCATGAAATCACAGTGAGGGACTTCTTGAACCAGTATTGCTCTCTGATGCTAAGAGAGTCTCTGCATTAAATACTTCCATATAAAAATATGAAGACTGGAAACCAATACAATGTCTTATGATAATAATAGATCACAATAGGAAACTTAGTAGAGGAACAAACTACTTTTTAGAATTAGTTTCATATCCTCTTGATAGTACCTTGTAACAGTAGAATGTAGCAAATTCCAACAAATCCTTATTAGATTAATTGTTGACAATATTCCTGAAAACAGTATAATTTTCAGTAACATTACCTATACCTCAGATATGTCATTATTCTTCTGCATTTAATGGAAATTGTTGTTGTTGTTAATTGCGAAGTCATGTCCGACCCATCGCGACCCCATGGACAACGTTCCTCCAGGTCTTCCTGTCCTCTACCATCTTCTGGAGTCCATTTAAGTTCACACCTACTGCTTCAGTGACTCCATCCAGCCATCTCATTCTCTGTCGTCCCCTTCTTCTATTGCCCTCAATCTTTCCCAGCATTAGGCCCTTCTCCAGTGAGTCCTTCCTTCTCATTAGGTGGCCAAAGTATTTGAGTTTCAACTTCAGGATCTGGCCTTCTAAAGAGCAGTCGGGGTTGATCTCTTCTAGGACTGACCGGTTTGAACGCCTTGCAGTCCAAGGGACTCGCAGGAGTCTTCTCCAGCACCATAGTTCAAAGGCCTCAATTCTTTGGCGCTCAGCCTTTCTTATGGTCCAACTTTCACAGCCATACATTGCAACTGGGAAAACCATGGCCTGGACTATACGCACTTTTGTTGGCAGGGTGATGTCTCTGCTTTTTAGTATGCTGTCTAGATTTGCCATAGCTTTCCTCCCCAGGAGCAAGCGTCTTTTAATTTCTTGGCTGCAGTCCCCATCTGAGGTGATCTTGGAGCCCAGAAAAATAAAATCTGTCACTACCTCCATTTCTTCCCCATCTATTTGCCAGGAATTGAGAGGACCGGATGCCATGATTTTGGTTTTCTTAATGTTGAGTTTCAAGCCAATTTTTGCACTCTTCTTCTTCACCCGCATCAAGAGACTCTTTAGTTCCTCTTCACTTTCTGCCATTAGTGTGGTATCATCTGCATATCTTAGGTTGTTGATATTTCTCCCGGCAATCTTAATTCCAACTTTTGATTCATCTAGCCCTGCCTTTCTCTGATGTGCTCTGCATATAAGTTAAATAGGCAGGGCGACAGTATATAGCCTTGCCGGACTCCTTTTCCAATTTTGAACCAATCAGTGGTTCCGTGTTCAGTTCTCACTGTTGCTTCTTGACCCGCATATAGGTTTCTCAAGAGACAAATGAGATGCAAATAGGGTGGAATTTATAATAGAGCATAAATGAAGTATTCTGAACATAACTATAAATCAGGATCCAATGATTTGATATAATACAATAAAAATTGGTTGTTTCTGAGTCACCAAAATAATACAAAGTGCAGGAAATCACAATTCTTTCTTTGGATGAAACTGAAGAAGCATTCCAAAAATTCATTCACTATGTCAAACAATAGAAATTTGTAACTCATAAGCTAAACCATTTTCCCCAAACTATCTGTTCACTATGCTGGCTATAGCTTATAGAAATGCAGTCCAGTTTATCTGAAATAGTGCAAGTTGCAAAGACTATATTATATGTCACCCCCTATATTGGTTAGATGAGTGATAGTGATTTTTAAATTAATAAAAGAACATTGAATGAATAGTATGTATATTAACTGAAGCAGAAGATGTTCTTATGAAATCAAATACTGTAACATTTGTGAGTATTTTTACTATTAGCAGGTCCCAGGAAAGCTCCATAGTATCTTTCAACTAGCACCCAGAAAGTACATTTGTATCTACATCCATCTCTCTGTTAGGTAGATGGGTAGTTCAAAAATGTGATACATAAGTAAGTAATATTCTGTAAGATGGCCTTTTGGTCAGGACTCTATTTAATTATTTGGAGTGATTTCTGCATTTGTCATAAATCTTTGATGGCCCATTTCAATTAGAAGTTGAAAGAACTCAGATTTTAAAGATTAGATGGTCCACAAAATCACACCTAAGATATAGTCAGATTCCATTTGTCTTCCTTACATTTGAAAATCTTAAAACAATAAACCATACTGAACACATGCAGCATTAATGGTTGCGGTTGCTGAGGATTAAGTTCCCTGAATTAGCTAATAACATCTTAATAAATTTTATGATTAAAATGTATTTTACTTTTTTACTTTCACATGAGTTGTTTTTCTAGAAATCACACAATCAAACATTAGCATTAATATAAATTTATCTATAACAACATTATACATTCTTGAAACATCCCACAGGATTATTGAGTAGCTCCACTATTGCCCTATTAATTTCTGAACTTAAATATTGGCTTGGGCTTTCAGTAGAAAAATAGCATATGAAAGAATATTCATATTTCATTATTTGGAAGACCCATATTCCCACTAGAACAGAAGTTATTTAATTATATCAAGAGAAAGACTAAAGAATTATAGGTCACTTATTCTTTTTCCCCTCTTGGTGTGTAGCCTTGTAAAATCTAAACAGTCATATGTAAAAGAAAAATGTTTTTGTTCTATAAATTGATTAATTAAGGTTACAGACTTTCAGCTTTGAAAAAATGGATATGGTTTTGCTGCCATTATAGACTGTGGCTTAGTTTATATAATTCAAATCTAAAAACAATCAATATTTAGTTGAACAACTGTTATCTGAGATCAATAACTATGACTAAGAGAACCAGTTTGGTGTAATGGTTGAGGTACTGGCCTAGAAAGCAGGAGACTGAACTGTAATCCTGCTTTAGGCATGAAAGCCAGCCGGGTATCTTTGGGCCAGTCACTTTCTATCAAAGTTGTGGGGAAATAGGAAGAGGAAAAAGTATTAGATATGTTTACAGCCTGTAGTTACTTGTAATGTAATAAAAATGGAATAAAATCTAATAAATTAATTTGATTTCTTTTCTTATTATAAAAATAAAACTTAATAGTTTAAGTTTCAGCAACTATTAGTCTTACAAGAAACAACTATCTCCCCATATTTTTGTATGTATACACAAAGAGACATAAAAGGAAGAAACAGCTAAGACCACACATTGCTCCTCAAAGCACAAAGCTGAAAGCACCAGCCTGAAGATGACGAATGGGACTTCATCGAAACGTCGCCAAGACACTTCCAATTTTACGCGGGAGAAAACCTGAATAACCAAAGACCTACATACAAATACCCGCGAAAACCTCAGAAAACAAAGAGACATACACATATACATATATGTCTGAAAATGCAAGTTACCACCCACCCCCTAATAAATGCCAGAAACATAACTAAAATAAAGAAATATTGTGTCATTTGTGGTACATTCCCTAGTGAATTCCTTAATTATTAGAATTTAATCATACTGAGTATATTGTGCAAATGCAGAAGCAGGAATAAAAACCTTCTAAAATGCTATTTGTAAATAATAAATATTATAATTTAAACTTTTGAGATTCTTTTCCTTAATCTTTAAGTTAGCTGTCTCTCAAATGTTATCGTGTACAACAATCTGGTATATTAAATTACCAGTCTTAATCATAAATTTCTATTCTAACTCAAGATCACTCTACCATTTAAAGCTACCCAGAAAAAGAATCATACAAACCATACAGTTGATGACAGAGCAATAATATTGCAGGAATGCAATAGACTTCAGTGAAGCTTCTTAGCAGAAACAACCCTGTTCATGATTTTCTTAATCTATAAATGGAATTATAGTATCTCAAAGTGAATGACTATAGGTCTTTGGATGGATGGATGGATGGATGGATGGATGGATGGATAGTAGATGGATGGAGAAATCCCTATGTATGTCTTTATTTGTATTTATTTACACAAAAAGACACCTACGTACACATTTAGGCAGGAATGAAGATATGAGTTTGGTAAAATGGCATAAAGCCTTACAGGTGTTTATTCGAGTTTTATAGAAAAGTTTAATTTGATTTTGGCAGATTTCAGAAGCAGTTCTGTACTCATTTAACTACATAGTTTCCTAAGAGCGCGACTCTCCATGTTGCACCACTCATTTCATTGATATGTTTGGAACTCATATATTTAGAAGATGTGTTCATTCCACTTTCTATTTACTTACATGTGAGCCAGACTGACTTTAAAACTCTTCTGAGAAAGTCTTCTCTGAGTGCCTTTATCATGGGCCTAAAAGGAATGAATGCAAAATAAAGTCTTGTTGATAACTTCATTCAGAATTCTATCAGCAAGCAAAAAATGTATTAATTCATAATAGGTTTGGGGTATTTTAGCTGAATTGTAACTAACTTTCCATTTCCTGAGAGCTCTTATTTATTGCTTTGAAGTGTTTTAATCTATTGAGTGTTTAAGAGCATGACATTTTAATGTTTTAGTTTCACTTTTATTGCATTATAATTTAGTCATCTGGAACATAAATTTTGTAGAAAAGCAAGATGTATAATTAATAAGTAAAAGCAACAAAAAATAAGAATAACAATAGACTTTGTCTAGCATAGTGAGAAATTACATGGCAGGGACAAAACAAATCTGTGAAACAAATCCATGACAATTAACTGCTCTGACCAAAAGAATGGTCCAAACTTGATCTCCACCATTCTTACTGAACAATCGTTTTTGGATCGGGCAGCTCTCAGATTTTTTTTGTTTATTTATTTTTTATTACTTCAGTGTTGTGATAAATATTTACTAAGGTTGTACAAAGTACCATTCCTCAAAGTTTTGAAGCAGCATGTACTCTATTCTTGAATGAGCATGTACCAATAACATTTCTGCCAGCACTTATGGAAAGGTGATGGGCTATGCATGCAATCTGTGCAGGGATGAGAAGAGGAACCCTAGAAGAATCATGCTAAACATTTTGGAGATAATGATAGTCTCAGTGCTTTGAGGAGGAGAGCTGCTTATGCAAATTGCAATATTAATATTGATACAAGTAGTTTTATGTCCTCTACTTCATGGTAAATTTACTTTGAGTCCTTCAAGTTGGAAATGGCAGAGTCTTAATATGTCATTGACAATATTGTTGCCCAGATTTCCTTCAAATCAGCTAGCATATTGTTTCTGGTGGCATCATTTCCAAAACTATTATCTTAAAAAGAGTGGTGGATGTTCTGTGCTTTACTTTTGTACACTTCCCTTAAGACAGTCACACATTTTTCCAATGAAAATTAATTTAAGGAAACATGATAAGCCTTACTATTTAAAAATGCTAAAGAAATTATTGCTGAAAATATTTAGTATTCATGTAATAGCTGTACAGAAAAGCATAAAGAAAGTTAGGTATAATTCTTGGTTAGAATATTAGCAAATTTAGCCATTCATCAAGTGTCCTGCCAGATCATATTATATAAAATGAATGACATTTGTGGCCTTTGGAAGCTCAGTTTGCTTGAAACTAATGAGATCATATTCTTACACATCAACTGCATGTCAAGATTTTATGAAATAAAATATAAAGTCTTTTCTGCATCTGGGTTCCCTTTTGATGTGGATCTTGCTGCTAAGGGACTGCTAACTGAACTGAATGTTTCAAGGAAACCAATTTACTCAGCTGGTTGCAAACCCTTTGACCTCAGTAGTAGAATTTGGAAAATCAATGAATGCATGAACATTTTAATGTTTGTCAAAAATTGCAAAAAACAAAGACTGCTTGAATTCTATAGTCCATAGATCCTTTGTAAAATATTAGTTTGTATTTTCAAGCTTTGCCTATCTTTTTTTTAAAAGCCAATGAGACCAAGTTAATTAAGCCTGAGGGGTTATGAACTGTTGGCAGTTAATAAGTCATAAAATTCCTCTATAAAACAGGATGCTAGATTCCATCACTGAGACAAGGAGTACAAAGGGCCGGTGTATAATATCTAATTGTACAAAAGGACTGGGATTTCTCAATGACTGCTCATCTGGAGTCTCAAGGGCATGCTCACTGTGGTTTCCTGATTTTTAGAAGCCAGTTTAAAAAATGAGTGTATTAAAGAGTAATTTGCCTGAAAGTTCAGGAAGTTTGGAGTGGTGAAGGGTGGGTGGAAAGGAGAGGAAAAAAAGGGAAGGAAAGAATAAGGGAAGGAGGGAGAAAGACCAAGACTGAGAGACAGGAGAAAGAGAAGAGAAAGCAAAGAATTCTCACCACATTAGCTTGGACATGATTGCATTTGTCATCTGTTTTCTTTTCCCTTTAGGATGTTCACCATGGCAACGGTACACAGCAGGCTTTTTATTCTGACCCCAGCATCCTGTATGTCTCTCTGCATCGCTATGATGAAGGCAACTTCTTCCCTGGCAGCGGAGCCCCAAATGAGGTTAGGTTTATTTCTTTACAACCCCATTTTTTATTTGTATCTTTCAGGTAATTGCATTGCATGATTACCCCTAATTTTCTCATCCTACATTGGTGCTCTAAATTGCATTAGATTACCAAATGGTCCACTGGGAGTGGGGACAGGGTGGAACAAGTGTATAACCCAGAACAGTCCTTGTCAAGTGGGGCCAGGTTGATTTGACATGCTGTTTGAAGTTGGTTTCAAAAGGACATTTTTGTGCATTTTCTTATTTTGATTCACTCTCTGCCTTTCCTCTCCATTTTCCCTCTGGCATTTCCCCCTCCTTCCCCCTCCTCCTCTTAGGTTGGAAGTGGCCCTGGTGAAGGTTATAATATAAATATTGCTTGGACAGGTGGCCTAGATCCCCCCATGGGAGATGTGGAGTACCTCACAGCATTCAGGTTGGTTCCTGTTTCTTTTTCAAAGTGCCAAATAGAAGTAATAGGCTGGAATCTACCAGTGTTAGAATACAGCAGCTTTGACAATCAGAAAAATGACCCATGGTGGAACTGGCTTAAAGTAAACTTCTTTTATTATATAGTATCTGGAGACCTCTTTTACTTTACTTTTTTTAAAAAAAAAATCAGTGTTAATATGCTGGCCACCCACAAAATAGAATATGTTATTTGTTGCCCAAAACAGATTGCTAGAGAAGCGTTGTCTTTTTTCTTTTTCCTACAAACTGATTAATAAGTTTTTTCAAAGCCAAGGAATGAATAGACCCACAGAAAAACAGAGAATCTATCAGTGCAAATATATTTTATTGCAGATTCTGGTGATTTTCCAGCAATTTACTTCATTATTACAGCATTTGGAAATCTTTCATAGCAATATTATTACCAACCAACCAATTCAGGGTAGCTTCATAACCATCAGCATGCATGTTTCCTGGCAAAAGTGAAGAAATATTGTTGCTGTGGGGTGGGAGTTCATATTTTTTCAATAAATAAATGAAAGGAATAGTTTGTCACTACAGTCTTCTGGGATATTTTTGACCTTCAAATCTAACCTGCAACATTCCTATTTCTGCAGTCTTCAATCCTAATACTAAACAGGTTTTATATTGTTCAGGTTCCCAATCCAGATTAGATCAGCTGCCACTTGTTGAGTACTAAGGAAAGGCATATGGAAGCAAATCTCTTTGATTCTCATTGACTCTTTTATTTAAGATGCAAGGATTTGAAAAGAAATAGATATAAAGATATAGAATGAAGAGATAATTGGCTTTACTGATTGACCATCAGGTGTAAGTGAAACATTGGCAGGAAAATTCTGCTTGTCCATAACATATTTGGAAAACTGTATGGAAAATGTCCACGTAGTGAATTTGGTCACAAATAAATTGTTCCTCTGCATATTGATCTGTTTTTGTTACCTTATTTTACATCTTGGGGTTCGCAGCATTGAAGCGACACACACTCACGTTGTAACCAAGTTCTTCTTTATTCATTCCACCTAACCACTCAGTAACCCAACAGGCTCACAGGCCTTTTATAGTTTCCCAAACAGCCTATCATAAATCTCCTTTGTTCGCAACTTGCGCCTGTGCGCAAGGCCGGCGCCAACCAGTCTGGTCCCAGGCAGCTTTTCGGTTGCCCGGGACCATTTGCAACATTACTGGGCCTGCTGAGCTGCATCATCAGGCCCAGGACACAACACCCCTCCCCCCTAGAAGACACATACAATTACATTTGTTTCCTGGCGGAAAAAAAATTTCCCCTGCCCCACACACAGGCAGAATATCTTTATGAAATAATAAAGTTAACTTAAACAAACCATTCTCCAAAAGTGTATTTATGCTCTACCAAGTATAGATCCCCATCACCCAGTTATAGACCAGCAAGGATGCTTTGTGATGACAGAAATCTCACATAGTCTCCCAGATGCTTGGAAGGGGCCTTAGCTTTTTTCGACCTACGCAAGGTCAGGGAGAGTGCCTGGCCTGTCAGCTCGCCTGCCCGACTAGGCAGACCAGGACTTTTACTTAATGGTGCCTGGCCTACCATCTGGCCTACCATCTGGTGGGCTCGATAGACCAGGACTTTGATGCTCATAATTGACAGGTGATCCGTGTTGTGGTGGACTGGCTGAGTCTTCTGGATTCCAGCCAGGGTCCCTTGGAGAGGAGAAAATCCCCAAGCCCAATGGTGGAGCAGAGGTCTCCCCTTCCACCATGGACTGCTCCTGGGAACTTAGTCCCTCAAGCCCGCAACCAGTCTCAGATGTAACCTGCATTGCAGCTGTGCCCCAATAGTTCCAGTGCCCTGTGTAGGTGGCCGAGGTGCCAGAGTCAGGAGCTGCCTCTATGGCAAACCCCCTCTCAGGAGAATTCCTGTTTGGTGCTCTTGCGGGTGACTCCCTGTTCGGAGCAATAGCTGAATCTTGAGGATGCCCTTGCTCCTCCACTGGGGGCTCAAGAGGATTCTGTGGGAATTCCCAGGAACCGTAAGCCTGGTTCCCAGGATTTTGACCTGAAGTGTGACCTTGTTCCTGGGCCCCCTCCCCCCTGAGAGCAGAGCCAGGAGCAGAAATGTCGGGGGACAACCACCAGCGCAGTTGTTCAATATGACGTTGAAAGATGCGGCCATCTCCCAAGGTCACTTCATATGATAGCAGCCCCGAGATCTTGCAGATGACAGCAGAGACCCAGAGATGTCCAGGACCAAAGTTCCTTGCCCAGACAGGATCACCCACCTGAGGTCTCCTAGGTGCCCATTGTTGTGACACCTGTGAAGCTACTCAGTCTGGGTGCAGTCTGTCCAACTTTGTGATGAAGCGGTGACCCCAGCGGAGTTCAGCTGGGCTCTTTCCAGTATCAGTGCATGGTGTAATGCGGTGTGCAAGAAGGAAATCTGCTAACCTGTGATGCCAGCTACCGTGTGTGATTCTTTTGAGTGCATCTTTGGTGGTGTGCACCATCCGTTCAGCTTGCCTGTTGGTAGAAGGGTGGAAAGGAGCTGATGTTGCGTGCCGGATCAAGTTGGCCTGAAGGAAAGCCTGGAACTCAAAAGAAGTAAATTGAGGACCGTTGTGAGAAACGAGGACATCCAGGAGGCCATGGGTAGCGAAGATTCCTCTCAACACCTGTATGGTCCTGGCAGTAGTAGTGGAGGAGACAGGTACAACCTCTAGCCACTTGGAATGGCTATCCACCAGTATAAGGAAGAATCGCCCCTTAAATGGCCCAGCATAATCTAAATGTACCCTTGACCAAGGGGTATGTGTCTCCTCCCACCTGTGTACAGGGATCTGAGGCATTTCAGGCCATGATTGTTGGCACACCTGGCACCCGTGCACCTTGGCCTCAATAGCTTTATCAAGCCCTGGCCACCAAAGATGGCTGTGTGCAAGCGCTTTCATGTGCATAATGCCGGGATGTCCCTCATACAGAGAGGACAAGACTCTAGACCTCAGTGAGGCTGGGATAACTACTTTACTACCCTATAACAGACACCCCTTAAATGTAGACAGTTCATGTCTTCTTTGCCAGAAGTTTTGAAATGCAGCATCTGGACATATGTCAGGCCATCCTGACAAGACCCATGTCAGCACACGTGTGAGCATGTGATCTGTGGCAGCCACATCCCTAGCATTGAGGGGAGATTCAGGCAACTCCTGAATGGACAGGATATTAATAGCAGGAGCAGGATCTGCCTCTATTTGTTTGAGAGGTAATCTACTGAAGCCGTCTGCATGACCAATCTCTTTTCCTGGTTTGTGGATGAGTGTATAATCATATGCTGACAGGAAAATTGACCATCTCAGCATACGTGGGGAAATAATGTGTGGAGTCTGTTTGTTGGTAGTAAACAACCCCAGCAGAGGCTGATGGTCTGTGTAGACCATGAAGTGGCAGCCATATAAAAATCACGGAATTTCTTTATGTCAGCCATTATGGCCAATGCTTCTCTGTCAATCTGAGCGTAATTCTGCTCTGCAGATGAATAATAGGCTAAAGGGACTTGTGTCCCATCAGCCTTCAGCCTTTTGCTCCCACCCCAAAAGGAGATGCATCGCATGCACACAGGCAGTTGCTCATTGAAATGTGCTAATACAGCATTTGAAGAGAGCAAGGCCTTAACCTCATTGAAACTCCTGTCATGGACTTTAGTCCACTGCCATGGAGCCTGCTTGTCTAAGAGCTGGTGTAACGGCTCTGCCACTGCAGCCTTATGTGGGAGAAATACATAGTAAAAATTTAAGAGCCCCAAGAAACTTGCAGCTCACTCTTGGATGTGGGCCTTGGGGCCTGCTGAATCGCTTGAAGCTTAGATTCAGCAGGGTGGATGCCTTGAGTATCAATCCTGAATCCTAAGAAGTCAGTGGAAGTGACTCCTATTTTGCATTTGTCTTGCTTTAATTTAAAGCCTGCCTGGTGGAAAAGCAACAAGACAGCCCTTAATATTTCTGCTAGATTTTGAGATGACTCCCCAGCAATAAGGATGTCATCGAAGTAGGGACAGACCTCAGGAATACCACGAAGCGTGCATTCCATGACACTTTGAAATATGCTGGGGCTACATTAATCCCAAACTGCACTCTTAAAGGCCCCTCTATGCGTTACAATTGTTTGGGCCACTGCAGTTTCCTCATCAACAGGTAGTTGTTGATAGGCCTGTGCCAAATCAAGTTTTGTAAAAAAAGTGCCCCCCCCCCTTTGAGAGAAGCCAGAATGTGTTTCACCACAGGCACTGCATATGCTTGCTGTTGCAATGCTTTATTCAGTGTACACTTGTAGTCTACGCAAATGCGGACTTCTCCATTAGCCTTTAAAGGCATAACGATGGGGGTTTCCCAGGGATTAGAGTCCACAGTTTCTAAGATGCCCTGCTGGAGCAGCTTGTCCAGCTCTGCATCCATCTTGCTTTTGAGTGCAAAAGGCACCCTTCTGGGCTTGATCCTGATGGGTGTGATAGTTGGGTCTAAAAGGAATGAAGCTCTGAGCTAAACACATCAGCAAACTCCTTGCAGACTTCTGCAAGGCCCAACATTTGCACACTGTGCAGCCCAGTCACTTGAATTCCAAGGGCCTCAAACCAATTGAGTCCAATAAGATTAGTGTGTTCACCCCCAACTAGGAAACCCTCAAAAGCCTTACGCTGCACTTTGAGCATAGCCTCCCCTTTCATACTGACTTTGGAATTCTGGAAGTCAGTGAGGATTAAATTCGAGAGCCTGAGTTTGACTTGAAGGCCACTACTGCTGCAAATCCTTTTGAAAGTGTCAAATGAAATGATTGATAGAGCGGACCCTGTGTCCAACTCTATCAATAAGGGAACCCCTTACAACTTCACATCAATGCAAAGTTTTTTCTTAAGGGGCTTGTGTGTCCCTCTCCTAAGAATACTCCTGCAATGTGCAGAAACCCACCCTGTGTTGGCTGGGACCCCTGGTACCTTTC